ACATCATTGGATCCATGGTGTTGAGTCTAACTCCAAAAAAAATGGATGAATGATTTTAATAATAGTTTTATTTGAATTTAATTCAAAAGTGGTTTGTATATTCTCTCACACCCCTCTTCATCTTATCCCCTTCTTATTGCACTAAGTGTTGTTGGAGCATGATCTCTATATCATGTCTCAAAACAAATAGTGCATAGATTGCTATTGACCGGCCTCAAAATAGGTGCGACTTCTATATAAGTCCACTTATGATTGCTTAACATAGCTCTAAATTTTGTCCTGATTCAAATGAATGATCATTTGTGGCCCAAACCTATGTTTGCAAGCCCAAGTATGTTAATTTGATCTCTTTGATCCAATAAATTTAAGATTCATTGTGTGGAGGCTTTGGTTCTACCAATCCTCTAATGGATCTACAACACTTTTGGTCAACGCAGATCACTTAAACATCGTTGATCATTAAATGGTATTTGTGAGGATTCCAAATGGATGATATACTTGACAAAAAAGTAAATGCAACTTGTTGTGTGGAGGCTTTGGTTCTACCAATCCTCTAATGAGTTCCAAATGCAAGTTTCAAGATGGTCATCCAACTAACCACTAATTATTAATTTGTTTTCACGTTATTCCCTTTTATGCTTTATGCACCATTTACTTTTAGCATTCACATTTCATGTTATTTTCATCTTTGCTCATTTGGGCATTTACTTTCTTGTCATTTTTATTTTTTGCTCATTTGAGCTCTTATTTCCTTTTTGAAGACACTTAATAATCAACATAAACCTTAAAAAAACTTTAATGATACTTGGACTATTTGGTTACTATCCTTGACATTATGGAGCATTGGACTTCTTGGACTTAGGATTAGAAACCTTGGCCTGTTGGAGACCTTGTGATCTTAATTGATATTTTGTCTGGAGTTCTTGAGGTTTACTTCAAGACATTAGTTTGTTTGTTTGTTTTATGTGAGGGTTATTATGATTACATTATTTGTTTGTAATTTGGAATTCACCTGTATACAGCCGTTACTCTGCCCAATTTTTGTGAAGACTTAATACACTTGAAGTATGGTTCTCACGAGAGGTCTAGTATCTTTACTTGCTTGGTTTCAATCCAAAGAATGGGAATTCTATCTTGGCTCATAATGTCAAGTATTGGCTTCTTGTTGGTTAGATGGTTCTTATCCCTAGCTTTTACCTTATGCTTTAGGATAGTCCCTTCTTCTCCTCCCATCTTCTTTAATTTCAAAAATCCTCTCCCTCCTTTTGAAAATTCTTCTTGTTTTTAAACTTGAACCACTTTCATAATAAACTTGGACTTAGGTCCATGCATTTTCAAAACATTTTCATAAATAAACTTCAACCAACTTAATAATACTTTGACATTTTTTGTGAGAAGATTAAAAGTCAATCAATCTCATTTCAAACCATTTTTCCCCTTTGGTTTTTTACTTTAAAATTTTTCTCAAAAGATTGGACTCTTGTCAATCCTTGTAGTGGTGCAAACAACTATACTTCTACAGTATGCATTGAAGAGAGATATTTTCCACTTGGGTGTTGAGTTAGCCATTGTTGATTTTAAAATCCAAGTCATATCCTCCACTTTGAGATGACGCAAATTCTCCTTTCTCATGATTGTGGGTAGTAAGTATGTTTTCCACATGGACAATGACGATGATGTCCTAGCTCATAAAATTAACCAACACACTTGTGTTTTAAAATTTTCAAAGAGGAACTACGTGTACCCTGATCCTCTGTTGCACGAAAGGTGCTACATAGGCACTAAAGGTTCACAACCGCGTCGGGTGCAAAAATCATAAAAAAATATGTTTCTTTTCTCACCTCCACCATCTATTTTACATACAACATTTTATAGCCAAAATATATAGATTTTTACAAAGAGGTTCCTGCGGAGTACCGTAGATGTTTAGGGTGCTAATACCTTCCCTTTGCATAACCAACCCCCTTATATTTAATCTTTCCCCCTCTTTTTGGGTTATTCGCTCTTTTCACATTCCTTTGGAAATAATAAAGCGTGGTGGCAATTTTTATTTTGATTTGTATGAGTCAAGTCAATCCAATGGCTTAGTCTTAAACATTTCTACCGCTACAGCTATGATGCAAGGTGCAACGACATATATTCAAAAGTTCAGCATAGCAACTGTACAATCCTGAGTACTTCTGTATAAATCTGCTGAATAATCTGAATATCACAAGATTAAAGGTTCAGGACCAATTCAGAACACAGCGGAACCAAGTACCATGAATAATTGTTGTATAATCTCTTGACAAGATGAATATATCAGGATCAAAGGTCCAGAATATAACCAAAGAACCATCTTGAACACCGAATCCAGAAACTCAAAATATAAATTTGAGACCCACATAGTCACCAACAGACCAACGGTCACCATCAGAACATAGTTACCATTTGTACCTGTAAAGATCATATTCCCGCCCCACTCACGGGTCAAGACTAAGTCTGGGTAAAGCCAATGGTAACTCAAAATCACGGGTTCGCTTGAGAGTACGATCATCATACACCTACGTGATAATGATAGCACCTCATTAAAACCTCATCTGAGTGTGGATGACACAATCGTCTAGGGTAATTTATATCCCATATCTGTCATGTTCCATTATATTCCTATTGTTCCTATTGTTTGTCACTTGGCCTAAGTATTGGGCCTTTTACTTCATAGTAACACTCATCCAACAAAGAAACACGGAAACCAGCACAGCAGCAGTATATGGAAAACAATAAAGATGCAATGCAAATATATGCTCAAATAAACATGTAAAAATGAATAAACTGAAAGCATAAAAATAAACACCCAAAAAGAAGAAAACAAGAGCTAGAATCGACTCCGGGATGGACCAACATTTGGACGATCTTTTTTCCCCAGTGACGTCCCCAGGTGAAACAAGCGGCTGAACAATCAACTGATAATGAAATAAATGAAGTCGTCATCGAATGTTTTTTATCCCACGTGAAGGGTAAAGGTAAACATCGAGTAAACCTGAGAAGGGTGAAATCACAATCAAAAGACGGAGAGATATAGGTAAGGGAGTCTATTACACGAGGGGAAGGTATTAGCACCCTACACGCCCGTAGTAATCTATGGTATCCACTATTGTTGTTCTAATCAAAGGGTGTGTAAGAATCTATATCTAAACTGTACAAGGAATGTATGTAAAATAAAAGAGAAAATATTGTAGGGAAAATAAAATTTGTGCTCGTTCGGGCCATACCCCAATGCCTACGTATCCCTTTTAAGGAATCAGAGCAGCTGTAGTTTGGCTCACATGTTTTGTTGGTTTGTATTTTTTAACGAATGATATTAGTTTCGCCTTCTTCCGCAACTCGACCTTTAGAGACTTACGCGTCAGCACAGAAGTGAATTTACAGGTTCTTTTGAAAAAGGTTTGAAAGAAAAGCCCGAAGGCGCAAAAGAGTTTGCATTGGTTAATATGTTTTACCTTAAAAAAGGATTTGGAAGTTGTTAGATGTTTTAATATTTTTCCAAGAAAAAGAGAAAGTTTTTGTTTTAAATGCAAGGATGCAAAAGAAAAGAAAACATCTAAGAGAGACTAACCTAAATCTATCCCTAATGTTATCATACAATGATTAATCCTAAGGTTGAGTTTTGAAGGGAAATCTCTACCCTAAGTGGACATGCTTGGATAACAATCCTAATGTCTATCTCAAATCATCATCTATAGATGAATCAAGAAGTCCTAAAGGAGCATAGCAAGGGTCTATCACCTAAAACTATGTCTATCTCGAATCATCATTTATAGTTGAATCGAGACCTCCTAAGGGAACATACTGAGGGTATATCATCTCAAAACATGCACACAAAGACGAAATCAAGCAAGAAAACCAATAAGCTTAAGAGAATACACCTAGAGATATCCTATCTAGGTTAGCATGCCAAAGAAAGTCTAGAAAAAACTATCCTATAGGGAACATGCAATGAGAGTGAAGTCGTGATCTCAATTTCTAAATTGAGTGACACATCGATCAACAAGAAATAAAGGAAAGCGATAAAATCCTACAGGGAGCATGCACTGAGAGAGAAGTCGTGATCTTAATTTCTAAATTGAGTGACTCATCGATCAACAAGAAAGTAAACAAACACAAGCACAACACATATAGAAAATGAAGTGCGGAATGCCTGCTACATGTCTTTAAACAGCGACTTCGAGCGCACGCTCTTTATTTCCTATTTCTCATGATATCTAGAAAGCAATAAAATGTGAAATGAGATAAACAAGAGAAAATACCAAACGGATATCAATCCTTAGCAAAGTGTATCAGAATAAAGAAACCCGACGATCTTCGCGAAAGCTTCACCAAACTAAGAAAAGAGTCAGAAATCAAACGCTCAGAATAAGTGTCGAAGTATCATCGATGTGAAAATAAATCACAATTGAAAAACTCAAGTATATCGGCATATCCTACATAGGACTCAAATCTCAATAAGAAAAAGTGAATTACAAATCTCAAATGTAATCGGATAATCGGGATTTAATTCCTAAAATCACATAAAAAACTATTAATTTTTATATTTCACTTTATTTATTTTTTATCATGTTAAAGAAAAAAGTTCAAGCAAATCTAAACAATTCACAAAATTATTTAAAAGGGAAATATTGAAAGAGTAAACTCAGGGGGTATTATACTGAAGTCAGGGGTAGTGTTCAGCAAGTCCCAAAAGCCCAACCAAATAGAGTCCCTAAGCTGTTTTTTGTTGTAATCCACTTTAGTTACCAAATATCAGGGACGAGCCTATGGAATTATGTACAAATGCCAAGCCCAAAAGATTTTTTGTTGCAAGCTTCTTTAGTCACAAAAATGAACAAGGAAAGGGCCAATGAGGACTGTGATTCGTTCCAACCCATATTCAACAAACAAAATCTACTTCACCATTTTTTATTTCAGATTGTATTATTATTATTATTCAAAAAAACTAAATAATAAATAAAAAAATAAAAAAAATGAAAAGAGGGATTAGGGTAACAAGTTGCGACTCTTCATCTCTCTCGCACGATCCTCTTCACTCTCTCCTCAATGGCGGTATATTGACTCCCTTTTCCCTGTCAATGAACGCCAACGCAACCGCCACTTCGCATCTATGTTTCGATCTCAAACCATCTCCTATCAATATGGTATGGTCGTTCATCTCCATTCACAAAGGCGACTCACCTCCTCTCGACATCGTCTCAATTTCAAACACCGCTAGCTTCTTCAGACATCATACGCTCTGAATTCATTCTCACGTCATGCTATCTATCACAAATTCAAGATTTCAAAATGAAATTTGTAGAAGGATAAGTAAAGAGGACTCACTAATTAGAAACATTTCGGTGATTCTTCGAAGTGACGGAGAACAAGAAGACCAGAGGTAATACTATTGCTTCCCTAACTGCTTAATATTCCTCTTTCTTTTTCATCTTCTTCTTTCATAATTCTGATTCCGTTTTGATTATCGCTCGAACGAATTCGTTGTTGCATAATCAATGGAGGTGATGTTGCAGGTTATGGTGTCGTGCGGCTTTGACGTGTGAACCAGTGATAAGTGGAATGGTTGAAGATGATGTGGAACTGCAGACTTGAATCGATGATAAAAGTGCAGAATTAAAGCAATCGTAGTGTTATGCGATAAAGAATCTTTATGAAGATGCTATGATAATGAGAAAGGTTGAAGGTTGTTAGAGGAAGTTAGGAGATGCTGATGAACGTTGTTTTAGATTATGGACGAATTGATGCGATGATGATGAAGTGATGAAAAGATTCAGAGAGTTCTGAAGATGATAACGATTAGAGGATGCTGATTGAGGCAAATGTTGAAGCAAGTAGAAGAATCGGTTACAGAGAGATGAGATATTTCTGAGATTTTGTTGTGATAATTATCTAGAGATTGAAGAATGATAGATGGAAGAAGAGAGGAGAATAAAGAGTTTTTATGGTTTTTCAATTCTGCAGAATGAATCCCCCCGATCTATCAAAGGTGAAGTTTTTATCTTATAATTTTGTTATGGTTAGGAAGTTAGTTAGAGTTGAATCAATCTGAACCGTTAATGTGAATGTTAGTTAGGGATTTTGATTGATGAGATTGGAAGTGGTAGTTAGTTTGGAATTGGTTAGAGATGTCTATGAGCTGGCAAATTTTCTGTTATGAATTGGTTATATGAGCTGGAAAATTCTGTTACATATGCTAGAATTTCTAAACTCACCTTCTAATTCTCTTTTTTTAATGCATACATTGAGCTCGCAATTAATTTATATTTGATGACTGCATAATGAGATGAAATTATATTGTTCTTGGTTATTAGCTTTGCAGCTTTTATTCTGACCGAAGCATACTGTCACAACAGATTGTTATAAAAGGAATGGGTGAGATGGATTTGATAAAGGTTAGCTACCTATCTCTTACTTCAGTTATGGACAGTTAGGAGTTTAGTTATAGTTTGGAAAGTTAATTTGTTCTATTATAGGGATTAGAGTCGGTTGGTAGTTAGGCTTAGCATAAATCCTGTTAGTTTCTGCTTCTGCTTTTTGCAAGGCTGATTATTAGTCTATTATGCTAACTGTAAGTTTAAAACAGGACTCATCACAACAACTATTTTAGCATGGTGCAGATGACGTCTTGGAGTAAGATTCATCAAGCCTTTTTGGGACTTATTTGGCACAATTTAGACAATTGTATGCATAGCTGTTTTGGTCTAACTGCCAGCTTGGTCTAGAGACTTGAAAGAAAACATGGAATTTGGTTGAGGCATGAAGACGGAGAGCATGGCAAGATGGGCTCTATATTCTCACATATGGTCTTTTTCCAATTCTTGCAATGTCCATTATATTTATATTTTGAGCTTCTCGCTTTATTGTTGGTGTAATGACTTGAGTTTGTAAATGACAATGGTGTACTCTAACACTTGAACTTTGAATGAGGAAGTTTTTGATGAAATTTGGATAGATTTTGAATAATTTTTTCTTGACATTTCGCGTGAAATTATAGCTCTTGATCATGAATGTAGTTTGAAATCTTTAGAATTCAATATCAATATTTTTCAAGTATTCAAAAAGTGTACGCTTTTCTCCCTCAAATTGAATTTGAATTTCACTTAATTGCTTTTGAACTTGCAACTAATTACTCATTCATTTAATCCTGAAATACCGTTGATAGAATAATAAAGAATATTGTGGACTTTGATGATGAATATGTTTGAACCATGATTTCACAATATTCTTTCTCCAATATTTCATGCTTATCACGACTCGAAAGTATCAATGAGCGGAAATACCAATGCACCAAAACCTTCTCCCAATTTCCCCTTTGACATTTAGAGCTTTCTTCTTGATTTTGCAATATAGAATTAATCTCTAATGAAACTTGAATTTTTATGAATCTTGTTTGAACCAGGAATCTTGAATCTCAATCAAACTTCATTCTATGTTTGCACCAATGAATCCATATATGAAAACCCCAATAGCTTAAACTTAACTTTGAGATGATCTTGTGTTAAATCCACAATATTTTCTTGTAAAGCACATAACCAAATGAACCAGCCTTCTCCTGATGATTTACAACACTCAATTGTGAGGTGCGCCCCATGAATTTCATGAAACCAAACCCTCCATATCCATCTAATGAGAATATCACAACAAAGCGAATCCTCGCCCGTGATTAAATCTCAAATACCATGCCTTGTTTTGAAGCAAATCACTATGCAAAATCCCAACTTGTGATCGATGGTTCCCGAAGAAGAACCTCCATTAGAGTATAATAGATGAAAAAAGTCCTGATCTTTGCTCGTACTTAGAGAAACAAACCCCAATAGCCTTTTAGCTTGATGAAGATAGAAATTCTCAATGACCACGACTCACAACCCTAATTCCACAGCTCATTGCCTGAATAAGAAATCAACCTTTATTAGATACAAACTCCTTAACTACTGCGAAACCCTAATATTGCACGACCACTGAACTTTGAACCTCAAACTCTTTATTGAATGCAATGCATGCTACATTAGTGACATAATGGAATATATGCGAATGAATGTGAAGGTCTAAGACGAATAAAAGAAATTAGGAGGGCAAATTTTGGGGCGCAACAACTAAGATGTCATGCACAGTCACAAACTCCAAAAATTCTTAGTTTTCTTAAAAGCTTTACTAAGATCCATACAACAAACTCTCCAAGAGTTGCTTGCAGCAAAAAAAAACACCTTCTCAAAAATATCCTAATCAAATCACACTATCTGACACCATTCTTCTGTCCTTACATTCACTAGCAAGTGCTGAAACTAGTGAAGTCTTCAAAAAGATAGTAGTCATGATTTTCCAGAACATACTACTATTAACAAGATCAGAAATTTCACATTCTAATTCACCTATTTAGGAATTCCTCTTCTGACATAATGATGGGCACTAAACTCCACATCCATAATCCCAAGCATCCTTCAGAAAAAATGATCACACAACAACCAAACATGATGTTACAACATCATTTGGGACATTAGCTTCACATCACAGAACCCAATCACCTTGGTTATTGAAAACAACACCATATAAAGGACTCGTTATGAAAAGACGTCATTCAAGAAGCTAAAAAGACACAACCACTGCACCTTAATCAGGTTATCACAAACACTTGAACACCATGGAGAGAAATAAACTATCACACACTTTCTGAAGCAACGAGTTCAAAAAGAATATTTACATCCACACATCAGATAAATACCCAGATCTCGACAAGGTCTTTACCATCAGTCACACGCATATCATCATCAGATCAGACTTATGCCTAGCTCCTGACAAGGTATTTGTCATTGGAGAAAATTTTCCTCACACATAAACATCAGATGATGCTCCCTTTCCACAAATGTTAGAACAATTGATCTGACATCCTTCTTCTTCACACTCCTAGCACAAGAGGATGAGAATAATGATAGCGTTCATACTAGATATATCTCCATACTTGGTCAGAGACTACACTTCACACTCCATCATGGCCAGGCATTCCATTTTTGGAATCCAATGGTGATCAGTAATACTCACACCATGATATTCAAAACAAGCTTCATTCTATGAAGAATAAAACACCTGATATGATGTTCCACCATCTTTTTAGACATCAATCTCAGTCACATGGATTCCACCATTTACTATGGTTCTAGAGATAACACCCATAGTAATTTAAACACATCTCTTGAGGGAGAATACAAGAGTACACATACTGGTACTAAACATCAGTTGATCAACTCCCAAGACCTGATCATGAATCCATGCAGTAATATGCATATTAACACACCCCCAAGAAGCTTCTTCTTATAAGCACAAAATATAGACCTCCTTTCTGACTTTGTGGTGTTAGAAGCCATCCTTATACATCAACAGAGAATATTCTCTCTAACAGACATCTAGGAGAGACCATAATAAACATGCTATTGAATGATCATCATACCATAAACAGATTGTCCAGAATAAGTCTGCTTCTCCCAATTCTTCAAGCCTCAAAAGCTTGACAACTTAGCTCATCCCAAATTGTTTAAATGACACTCCAAAAATGTAGATACCAATCAACCACTGATTGATTCACACCACAACTGTAAGTTAATTTTTCAGAATAATATTAACTCATCTCAGTTTGATGCATCTCATATTGCACACAACCCCTTAAATGTCTCTTCTACTCCAGCATAACAAGAGTTTCATGTTCTCATAAACTTGATAGGCGATATCAAGTTTGAGTAAACAACATTCATCCTGTTTAAGAGAAACACTAGCCAGACATGTTGAGAAAAATAAATTCTTAGCACTAAGATGTCTAGACATCACGCCTGACATATCTTTAAGTTCTTCCAACTCCAGATTAGATACTCTCTTCAATAGCTGCTAAGAACACCTTAGAGAATCATACATTCTCCCTTCCAAAAGCAGCACAACTTTTGCACTCCTATATTCATTGATCATAAATAAATTGACCTCAGGATTACTCAATAGGTTAATCATCTCTTGATTAGCCCACTTATCTAAGACATGTTTTCAGGATAAAACATCTTATATATACAACTCGGATGCCTCCTTTTCCAAGTCAAGAGAAGGTTCCAAACATATGTGATCAACACATTTGTTTAGCACCCAAAGCATCTGCTATGCAATAAGAATCTGCATACATGTTAATATGATGTTCCAACATCCAGTAGAACATCAGTTCCCTTCTCACAGAACACAGAATAATACTTGATCACCTTCAAGGTCTTCAATGGAAATCCATCTTCCAACAATAACAAGGTCAAGGCTACTTTCCTAATATAGCCACAAACTAGGAATACCCGTGCAAATTTATATGAACATCTTCACTTCAGATTCTCATCAAACTTATTGATGTTAGAACATAGTTTGATTCTATAACCCTCATAATAGTTTTGATGATAACAAACACAAAGAACAAATATTCACTCTAAACTTGTGTTTTATGTTGTACAAAAGTTCTGACTAAAACGGCATCAGAAGTTAAGCCACAGAAGCACTCAAGCTGAGTAATCAGAATGTTCTGAAGTATGATGATCAGAATCTGCACTAAAGAGAAAGATATTTTGATTTTGAACGGA